GTGTAACACCTTCCATATTTGCATACGTTTTCCCATTAAGATGGTGATCTGATGGTGCCATATCTGGAGAATATGGTGGGTGGGGGAGAACTTCCCAACTCAACTCCATAATCTTGTGTTGCATCAAACGTACCACATGTGGACGTGCATTGTCATGGAGAAGAAAAACACCTTTTCGATTAACGAGTGAAGGACGTTTCTGATGAAGGGCTTGATTTAAATGTTCCAGTTGCTGATTATAGATCTCTCTATTGACAGTTTGCTGTGGATTGAGGAGCTCAAAATGAATCACTCCTTTGATGTCCCACCAAATGCAAAGCATCACTTTCTGCAGATGGAGTCCAGGTTTTGGGGTTGGAAGTGGTTTTTTGTCTAGGACTGAGCCATTGTTTTTAGCATTTAATATTTGCATAGAGAATCCATTTTACATCATTGGTGACAATTCTGTCCAAAAATGGTTCATGCGCATTACATGTCAGAAGAGATGAAACAACGTTCACACTTGGAAACAGTGATCATCGGAGAGTTCATGAAGCACCCAAACACCTTCTTTATGGAGTTTCCCATATTCCTTAGATGTTTACGTACTGTTTCATGAGAGGCATGCAATTTCAGTGCCATTTCATGAATGTGTTGCCTTGGGGTAGACTCAACAAGCTTCTTCAGAGCATCAATATCAGTTCCAATATTTCTGTCCCTGCCATCACAGTTTTAAGGCTAAAGTCACCTGAATGAAATTTGCTGAACCATCATTGACACTTATGAACATTCAAAACATTTCCATAACGTTTTTTGATATTCTTTGTAGCTACAGAAGCATTGTCTCCCTTCTTGTATTCAAACAGCATTACATGCCGAATGTGTGTCTCATCATGTGCCATCACTATAAGGGATTAGAGTATACTAAACTTTACACATTATATAGGCTACACTAATGTGACGTTTATGGGTTTCATTTCACTATTATGCAAAATAAAGGTACCAAGTCCAACCCAGTAGTTATATAATCACATTGTATTTCCTAAAATTCTGCATAATTTTCAGAAACTTCATATCACATGATACTTCCTGACATACAATGTCTTCCTTGCAGATTTGCTAAGCTCTCTGGTTCATCATCCACGAAAGGTGCTGTCTGCAGCTGAACATCTCATCCACATGTATGAAATGTCTCTTTCAGAGGGTGATTCAGGACATCTTGCTTCTTCTATGAAAAACCTATCTATATATATTTATTCTTCTGAAGATTTTTTTTTCTCATATCTCACTTACCTTTATCATTGATTAAGACAATTTTATTTTTCCAGCTGGTGGAATGAGCTGCCAAAATATCAGATGTGTATGCAGCACCTTACAAAAATTTGAGAGAGGAATCAATAATTTTCTGTCACATAATTTTATATTTCATTTTCCTGTGGGTGTGCATAAACATCTTTGTTGTCCATTATTATCTTCCTTTTTTTAATAATACATTCTGCATTTCAGAAAATAACACATCAACTATCCCATAAAAAGAAGTTTGTATACAACATTAAAACCCAATAATTTGTATATCTCTGAGCAGCCATGTTATTTGTTTTATTTCAACGAACATGCTTTTGAATAGTGACAAATACATCATAAGCTGAAGAAGTTATGCACCAGTACATTTTATTGAAAGAATGTTGCAAAAATTTTTTATATGTATTATATATTTGTTGAAAATAATATAAGTAGCTGTATTTATCTCTCCTATTTTATTTATAAAAGTAGTGTTTTAAAAATTATGTACAGCTGTATCGAAATGGACCAAACCATGAGTTCTAGTAATCTGTAAACTCATTAGCTTCAAATTACCAGAGAGACTTTTTAAAGCAAAAAACAACAACAAATTCTAAAGTAAGTACTTCAACAAAATAAACAGGATAACTATGAAATTACCTGTATTTATAATACAAAAAGAAAACCACGATATCGATAGAATATTTGAAAGCATGTGATAAAGGTTACTGACAGAGGCCTACCCATGGTGTGGTGGTTGTTTGCAGACTTACAATGCTAGAAACTGGTTTTTGATACTTGTGGTGGGAAGAGCATAGATAGCCCATTGTGTAGCTTTGTGCTTAACTTCAAAACAAACTATACTGACAGAATAACTAAACTTTTCAATCTATGAGTCACCAGAACATTTGTTTTATATATTTTTGTTTGAACTCAATAACTTGAGTGACTGAATGTGTTAGGTTTTTTGTGTATAGGTCAGATTCTTTACAGTAGGTGTCTGTGACTTGTTGACGATAAATTTCAACAATAAACAAACAGCA